GTAGAGCAATTTCAGGGCAGTGGGGTGGAGAGCAGGAACGGCTCTTTCTATCTCATGCCTCCCCCCCCCCCTTTGTTTGTTTGGTTTTTTAAAAAATATTTTTAATTAAATTTTCTGTTTTACAATTTAGAATATTCATTTAAACAACCTTAAAATACTGGTGACTTCCCTTCTTCTCTTCCCATGGTCATTTTGCATAACATAAACCCCACATATCGTATATAAACTAAACCATTCAGTATTCCATTATTACATCCATCAAAACTTATTTACATTGTTGAATTTATCTTAATGCTGCCAATGTTTTCTTTTTTCTTTTTAAAAGGGTTTATTAATTTTCCAATAAGAACATCTAATTAACATATCAAATCAAATCCAATAAAAATAAAAAACTAAAATAAAAATAAGTTCAATTGTCTTCCAAATTGTAATAATTTTGGTTTTGGCTTCCCACGATCTGAATTCCGAAGCGCTTTCAACACCGTAGTCCTGCCTTTTTGTTTCTTGCAGATGTAAGTTTGCAAAATGACTGATTGGGAACAGCCAGCTGTGTGGACGATGGGGGATGCTAAGGATGCTTTGCTGATGGAGGTGCTGGAAGGTAGCAGCTACAGGTGATGCTCTCTGCTAGCGATGATGCGCTTCCACCTGCGGCTGTGCGGAATGCACAAACTGGGGAGGCGGGGTGCGCAATGAAAGAAGGAACAGGGTTCAGTGTATCAGCACCAGGCTGCGCTCTGAAAACAACCGTGGGCCATTGGAAGTTTGGATGGGAGCCTTCTATGATACGATAATCTTTATTGTCATTCTCCCATACAGAACAACGAAATTGAAAAAAATCTACATCAGACATTCGAAAACCAACAAGCCTGCTATCCCAGCCTGGTTAACTCCCTAAAAACTCTGATACCCCATAATTAAATACAATATACTCCCATACAGACTACCTTAAAGGTAAAAGGTAAAGGTACCCTTGCCCGTACGGGCCAGTCTTGCCAGACTCTAGGGTTGTGCGCTCATCTCACTCTATAGGCCGGGAGCCAGCGCTGTCCGCAGACACTTCCGGGTCACGTGGCCAGCGTGACAAGCTGCATCTGGCGAGCCAGCGCAGCACACGGAACGCCGTTTACCTTCCCGCTGGTAAGCGGTCCTTATTTATCTACTTGCACCCAGGGGTGCTTTCGAACTGCTAGGTTGGCAGGCACTGGGACCGAACGACGGGAGCGCACCCCGCCACAGGGATTCGAACCGCTGACCAAGCGATCGGCAAGTCCTAGGCACTGAGTTTTTACCCACAGCGCCACCCGCATCCCACAGACTACCTTACAGTGCTTTTAAAACCAAAATCGCATTTGGATAGAAACTGTTTCTCAGGCGGCTAGTCCTAGTCTTTATAACCCTGTACCTTCTTCCAGAAGGGACGCGGGTGGCGCTGTGGGTTAAACCACAGAGCCTAGAACTTGCCGATCAGAAGGTCGGCGGTTCGAATCCCCGCGACGGGGTAAGCTCCTGTTGCTCGGTCCTTGCTCCTGCCAACCTAGCAGTTCGAAAGCACGTCAAAGTGCAAGTAGATAAATAGGTACCACTCCGGCGGGAAGGTAAATGGTGTTTCCGTGCGCTGCTCTGGTTTGCCAGAAGCGGCTTAGTCATGCTGGCCACATGACCCGGAAGCTGTACGCCGGCTCCCTCGGCCAGTAAAGCGAGATGAGCGCCGCAACCCCAGAGTCGGTCACGACTGGACCTAATGGTCAGGGGTCCCTTTACCTTTACCTTTACCTTCTTCCAGAAGGCAGAAGCTGAAAGAGATCATTTCCGGGGTGCGCACTATTCTGTGCTATCTCTGCAGCTTTCTAACGACACCTGGAAGCGTAGATCTGATCCAAGGTGGGAAGAGTGCACCCAATTATTCTCTCCGCAGTCTTTACAACCCTGGACAGCATTGTTTTTCCCGCTGACCGTGCAGCTCCCAAACCACACGCACAGACCATAAGTTAATACACTCTCCACAGTACAATGGTAGAATGCAATCAACAGGTCCTTCGAGAGATTGTTTTTCCGGAGGACTCTCAGAAAATATAACCTCTGTTGTGCTCTCTTCATCAGGTCTTTAATGTTTTCAAGCAGGGTGACGTGGGAGAACAATGTGGCTTTGAAAGGAAGAGGGGTATAGGGCCAGGCCATGGAACAGCCCAACTTGGGGGTCTGTGGAGAGAGAGACGGTGGGGGGGGGGTCTGCAGGAAGGTAGTAACTGTGGGTGTCCCTATTGGCAGCACAGGTGGGGAGCATGATTTCTGCCTCCAAATCCTGTTTTCATAGAATTATAGCATTAGATGGGACCAAAAGGTTCATCTATTTCAGCCCCTGCAATGCAGGAATATTTTTACCCAACGTGGGATTCAAACCCACAACTCTGAGATTTAAGAGTCTCGTGTTCTACCTACCGGCCTCTTGTCCTTAATCATATTTTGTGTACTTCCCCGCCCCACCTCAAGGAATAAGAAGCGGAATCTCATATCGAAGGTATCCAAAAGGCTGAAGAAACAAAGGGGAGAAGCTCGCGCCAATGGGCAGCAGAATATTCAGCATGATGAACAGGTGGGTGGATACTGAGATGCTTTGGACTACAACTCCCATGTGCCCCAGAATCTTATGGCCGATGGGAGTTGTAGTCCACAGGGCACCAGGTTAGCAAAGACCGCGTTAGATGACTGCATTTTTCTTGTGCGGATGGATAAATGTTTTGGTTCTAATGAGAATTTTGTCAGTTATTCAATTTTGCACCGTGAGATGAGTTTGGGGTTCGTTTCACCCCTGCTTGAATTCCCATTTGAACCTGTCTGCATTTTTGAGCCAACTTTTGGAGTTTGCTATATCAGATCTGTAACCTGGAATGAGTGTCGGGAATGTGAAGAACCCAGAAAGTTGTAGCATAATCACAAGAAGTAGAACTAGTGGCTTAGAAAAGCGGTTTAAAGTAAAACATCTGTAAAAAGCAGCATTTACTGAGTTTAATTTGAATAATTTGAATATCAGATAAAGCATAGGTGGCTAGCTCAGCAGAAAACCTGATTGAAGTTCGCCCCAGTTTAGTGGTGAACAGCAGGTTTTCCCAGGGAAGGCAGTGGAGCGAAAGGAAAGCCTCTTGGACCCGGGCCTCGAATGCATGGAACATTTCAGGGCGAAAGGAAGTGTGAATGAGCCTTTGGAGTCCACAACATCTGGAAGGCAACAGGTTAATAATAATAATAATTTATTATTTATACCCCGCCCATCTGGCTGGGTTTCCCCAGCCACTCTGGGCGGCTTCCAACTGAATATTAAAAACAATACAGCATTAAAAACTTCCCTAAACAGGGCCGCCTTCAGTTGTCTTTTAAAAGTAGAATAGTTGTTCATTACCTTGACATCTGGGAGGGCGTTCCACAGGGCAGGCGCCACCACTGAGAAGGCCCTCTGCCTGGTTCCCTGTAACCTCACTTCTCGCAGTGAGGCAACCACCAGAAGGCCCTCAGCGCTGGACCTCAGTTTCTGGGCTGGATGATGGGAGTGGAGACGCTGCTTCAGGTATACAGGACAAGTCTAGCTGCCGCATTCTGGATTAATTGCAGTTTCCGGGTCACCTTCAAAGGTAGCCCCACATAGAGCGCATTGCAGTAGTCCAAGCAAGAGATAACCAGAGCATGCACCACTCTGGCGAGACAGTCCGCGGGCAGATAGGGTCTCAGCCTGCGTACCAGATGGAGCTGGTAAACAGCTGCCCTGGACACAGAATTGACCTGCGCCTCCATGGACAGCTGTGAGTCCAAAATGACTCCCAGGCTGCGCACCTGGTCCTTCAGGGGCACAGTTACCCCATTCAGGACCAGGGAGTCCTCCACACCAGCCCTCCCCCTGTCCCCCAAGAACAGTACTTCTGTCATGTAATAGGTTGGTTATCACATGCACTAAGTAACTGTCTTGCCGGACGATCCTGAGACATTCTCAAAAACGAAAGCCGACAACCTCATTGCAGTGTTGCTGGGAGGGCTGAAGCAGATCACAACATTGAACACCTTGTTTGAGGGACAGAGGCAGACGAAATCTGAGCTCACCCAGCAACTGGGGGCAATGCACTGACCCCTGTTTGCAGGTAGATCTGCCCATGCCCTGAGACATTATTGGCACTGGTCTCTTGTAGTCCCGTGTCCTGGAAAAGCCAAGCAAGAAACTCCTCTTGAAGAAGAAGCCATTGCAGGAAAATACCATTTCCAGGTAAGAGGGCGTTCCACAGGGGCGTTCCACAGGGCAGGTGCCACCACCGAGAAGGCCCTCTGCCTGGTTTCCTGTAACTTGGCTTCTCGCAGTGAGGGAACCGCCAGAAGGCCCTCGGCGCTGGACCTCAGTGTCTGGGCAGAACGATGGGGGTGGAGACGCTCCTTCAGGTATACTGGACCGAGGCCGTTTAGGGCTTTAAAGGTCAGTACCAACACTTTTAATTTTCCTCGGAAACGTACTGGGAGCCAATGTAGGTCTTTCAAGACCGGTCTTATGTGGTCTCGGCGGCTGCTCCCAGTCACCAGTCTAGCTGCCGCATTCTGGATTAGTTGTAGTTTCCAGGTCACCTTCAAAGGTAGCCCCACGTAGAGTGCATTGCAGTAGTCCAAAGTAAGACCCCTAGATCATTTTTGTTATCAAGGCCTGGGCTTGATACCAAAACCTCACTTTTTCATCCATCCTTTTTTTATCTTCTCTTGTTTTGCTAAAAAGCAGCCTGGAGAAGACTGCTGGTAATTATATCTCAAACCAGGAAGCGGAATTTGGAGGGAACAGTGTGAAGACAAAGAAGCCGAAATGTCATCAGGTATGTTAGCCATACGTGACATTGGGAAAATAGCTGAATGTTAGCAGAGAAGTGCAATTATACTGCCAGCTAGTGTTGGGTATCTCTTGTGAGGTTTGCAAATTCACCCAAGTTTGGAAGCAAGCACACTTCTTAGTGAACATTTGGGTGCTGGGCTGCCTTACATATCTCTAATCGAAAGGGCTAGAAACTTGATTTTCAAATGGACGAATGGCTGAAAGCTGAGGACCCAAGTTACTTCAATCCTTCTGTGAGGCTGTTGCTAAAGTTTGCTTTGCTTCGCTATGTCAGACATCTTTTCCCCAAAACTTTGCGCGTTCTGTAATGGTCGTCTTCCATGAGAGGTTCAGAGGATGGCAGAACAAGAATGGGTCTTTTTTGTGGTGGCTCCCTGTCCGTGGAATGCTCTCCCCTTCACCTTCATTGGTGAAAACCAGGCGTTCTGTTGATTAATATTCTGTGATTTTAAATGTGTAGGAGGAAGGTTATTGCTTTGCTTTTGCTTTATTATGTATTATGTATTTTTCTGTTGTGAACCACCCTGGGATCAGAATCTTCAGATGAAGGGTGATATAAAAATCTAAATAATAATAATAATAATGATGATGATGTTTTATTTCAGGACAAGGCTGACTTCACCCCATCCAAAACACCCTGGGAAGAGGAAGAAAGCTCATCAAAGTGAATAGGCATTTTCTGTTCATTCCGGGGCGTTTACACACTATGTGATTATCTGCAAGGTGTCGCTGGAGGTATAAATGAAAATCAGGCTTTGATGATGATGGTAATGATAATAATAATAATAAAAATTCTACCCCCACCCATCGGGCTGGGCTTCTCAGCCACTCTGGGTGGCTTTCACCAGAACATTAAAAACAGAATAAAACATCAAACATTAAAAACTTCCCTAAACAGAGCTGCCTTCAGATGTCTTCTAAAAGTCGGATAGTTGATTATTTCCTTGACATCTGCTGGGAGGGCGTTCCACAGGGTGGGAAAGCTACTATCACTGGATTAAGCCCATCAGTTCTTGTTGAATTAATTAAACTACATAGTTTTAATTGGATTTTTTTTGGGGGGGGGGAGTGCAATTAATTGTTTCTGTTTTGAATTCTATTATTACCTTTTTCGGTGGTTTGTGCAAGACTTCTATTCTCAATACTGCTCTTTATAGGGCAGGAAGCCAAACGCATTTAATTCCGCTTGTGATACAGCTGTAAGGTTATGGGGCAGCAGTGGGGGTGCTGGGGACAGCAGACCCAAGGCCTGGGATTTATTGCAGATTAATCCAACTTCAGTTTTTAATTAAATGGTTCCATCAGTTTTGAAAGCCTCTTTTCTAGTTTCCAGAGCCAGGCCTATATTTAATGACCCGTTTTTAAAGAGCCTCAGCAAGGTGGACTCATTCTGTGTGTCTTCTATGTGCTGGCAAAACTAGCAGCCTGCTTCGAGCACCATAATATAATAATAATAATAATAATAATAATAATAATAATAATAATAATTTTTATTTATATCCCGCCCTCCCCAGCCAAAGCCAGGCTCGGAGTGGCTAACAACAGTAAAAGTAACACAGTTTACATAAAATCACAATCTATTATCTAAAATCAATTCAGAGTCAAATTAAAGGCAACCATTGGGTTCTATGAGGAACCATTGTTCTATGAGGATGACAGAAGGAGGGGGTCAGACTGCCTTGGCCAAAGGCCTGGTGGAACAGCTCTGTCTTGCAGGCCCTGCGGAAATATGTCAAGTCCCGCAGGGCCCTAGTCTCTTGTGACAGAGCGTTCCACCAGATCGGGGCCACGGCCGAAAAAGCCCTGGCTATGGTTATGGCCAGCCTAACCTCCCTGTGGCCCGGGACCTCCAAGATGTTTTTATTTGAAGACCGTAAGGTCCTCCGTGGGAGGGAGAGGCGGTCCTGTAGGTACGAGGGTCTTAGGCCGTATAGGGCTTTAAAGGTTAAAACCATCACCTTGAACCTGATCCTGTACTCCACCAGGAGCCAGTGCAGCTGGTATAGCACCGGGTGAATGTGATCCTGAGGCATCTGATCAAAATCTGCTTTGAGCTTAAAAAAATTATATTTGTAAATATATTTTTCTCTGCCAGGGACAGACCAGCTGAATACTCTGGCAGCTGTTCAAGGGGCCCCACTGCTATAAATAAAAGTATTTCAAGGTTGTAAAAGGAAATTAGAGCCAGAGAGCAAAAGGTCACACTGACCAGAATACAATCAAGCTGTAAAAACACAATTAAGAACTGGTAAATAGTGAAATTTATTGTTTAACAGAAAACTCGAGCCATAAGGTTAAAGGTTAAATGGAAGAGGTTGCTCTTAGAAACAGCTGCTGGTTAGGGAAAAAGGTTTCTTTATAGAACTTAGGAACTTAGCTTTTACTAAGTTCCTTCTAATTTGAAAAGGCCTTTCCTTCTAAAAATCTATCTATGTTATGTATGAAATATATTGGCTTAAATGTGATTATGCAAAGGATTTAGAAAGTAAGAAATGTTAGATTCTTATGTTAGATTCCTATTATGGTGGGTGAGAAGGTGAACTCAAGATCTCTTTAAGATAAAAATTAGAAACCATGCACCATCTGCTTTAGCCATCTGGTTTGCGGTGAATAGGGCAACAGGGGCCAAAGGTTATCTGGTAATTGAGGTGCCTGGTCGAGGTAAATGTAAGATATATGGCTACTTGTCTGCCATTTATGGATACAAGGAAATATAGCTTTTTGTCTCCCATAAAAGGGAATAGGAAATGGGTGTATCTTTTATGATTGGTTCTAGCAAACAGCCAATAGGAATTTCAACCAGGCTGATTGGACAGAGGCAGCCAAAGGAGGAGCAAGGGGGCTGGGCTGAGGAAATATAAGTGCTGGCCATCAGGGCTGGAGTAGGCAGAGCTTTGGTATCCATATACCACTGTGTCTCTCATTTATTTGTCTGACAAATAAATTATTATTTTAATTTCTCTATTGCTGCGTTGAATATTTCATTCCAGCTAAGCGTTAACCACAAGCAGGGTGCTACATTTTATGGTGCCTCTGTGACTCGGATAAGTGGTCTGCTGGAACGCAGCCCCTTCGCCCTAGCGGGCAGGGTACAAGAGGGAGGACCACTGACCGCTTACCCAGCGCGCACTGGAACATTTTTCCAGGGGAACGCAGAAGTCTCGTCTGTCTGATACCCTGCTCACTGGCGGCGACGGACCGGGGGTAACCAGAGAAATAAACAGGGAACCAGCTAAGGGTAAGTGCACAAAGGGGTTGTGGCCCTCCAATTAATTGGGAGGAAGAGAAGTCTTGATCAAACTTCTGCGTCTCAGTAAGGGGGAACTGAGTACGCTAGGTGGTTGGGTACATCAGATGGTGGTCTGGTGGAGGGAAAAGGGAAAGATTGGGAGGTAGAGTGTGGTGAAGTATCCAGCGCATTGTATGTGTGAGAAAGTACAATTTGTAGCTGACCTGAGTGTGGAGTGGGTAGTACTCGGTTCCCGGTAAGGCGACTTCATCCGGGCAAGGATCCCCACGAAGCGTGTGTGTGAGTGACTGAGTGGATACTTCACAGGGCCATACAATGGGAGTTGGAGGTTCAAAGGGGGAAAATACACCTCTTGAATGTATGTTAAATAATTTTAAGAAAGCCTTCTCAGGAGCATATGGAGTCAAAATGACGCCAGAGCGCTTGAGAACGTTATGTGAATTAGACTGGCCAAAACAAAATACTGGATGGCCACCTCAGGGAAGTTTTGATATAAATTTAGCAAGCAAACTTTGGTCTAACATCACCAAAGAAACTGGAGGGTGCCCAGAACAATTTTCATATATAGATTCTTGGCTGAGCACATTAAATAATAATCCTCCATGGATAAGGGAATGCAAAGTCCAACAATGCAAATTATTGGCTGTAAAAGCCGAAGCTAGGAAAGGAATCTTGCCAAATAAACTCAAACCCATTTTTGAGGGACCAGAGGAAGAGGTGCTTCCACCTCCACCCTATGCTCCACATCGAGGGGAGCCTAATCCAAACACTCCACCAGTTGTAACCCCAAGGCAAGAAAGTGGAAGGAATAATGGGGCTGGAGTCACAGAGCTTGATTCCTTGATAGATTATGATAAATATCTTCAGGAGGCATTGGAGTCCTATAATAAAGCCCAAGCAGAAGTGGTTATTCCACCTGTGAGTCCCAGTAGAACTCCATCTACAGTCTCCTTTAGTGGAACAACTGATTGCCCACTCCCAAACCCCTGTACATCCAAGTCCTAGAGAACTATTACAGGAGTTACAGGGAGACTTTGATCGGTCAGTAAGCAATACAGCCAGGCGTATAAAGCTGTTAAAAGAACGCCTTGGGACAAATACTATCCCCTATGATTTGAGGCCCCTAAAGCAAAGCGAAGAGAAAGGTCACGTAGTAGCCCCTCTCAGAAGAGTATTTGATGCACTTGAGGAGCCTGTGCTGGTTAACGGGCAACTCGGACCACGGCCACCTCGAACTTCGACCCTCCAGTACATTCCATTCACAACTACGGATCTGATGAATTGGAAAACACACACCCCATCTTTGCAGAAAAACCTCAGGCTATGATGGACTTGGTGACTTCAATAGTAAATACTCATAGTCCTACTTGGACAGATTGCCGCCAGCTCCTGAATACTCTGTTCACCACTGAGGAAAGAAGAGACATAATTGAAAAGGCACAGATATATTTGCGTGAGCAGGCCAGAGTGGGAAATATTCTTAATGTTGACCGTCATCTCCAGGACAATTTTCCCTTGGAGGATCCTAATTGGGATCCAAACAATGCAATTCACCTGGCCAGGCTTACCACCTACCGCCAGACGCTTGTGCAAGGTATCCGCAGGGCATGCCAGAAGCCCACTAATATGACTAAAGTCTCAGAAGTAGAACAGAAACCAAATGAGAGTCCGGGAGACTTTTTAGAGAGGCTGCAGGAAGCCTATCGCATATGGACTCCTTTTGACCCTGAAGCCCCTGCAAACAGCAGAATGATTACTGCTACTTTTGTGGCTCAGTGCGCTTCTGACATTCGTAAGAAAATTCAGAAGTCAGAAGGCTGGGAAGGGATGCTGATGAGCCAAATTATGGCCATTGCACGCCGAGTTTATCGGAATAGGGATGAGGCTGAGAAACAAGAGAAGAAGAAGTGGCAGAAGGAAAAGATGGTGATGCTAGCCACAGCAGTGAAGCAAGACTACCGCCCTTTAAATGGAGGGAGAGGGCGGGGAAGGAATCCACCACTGGGAAGGAATCAATGTGCGAATTGCAAGAAGGAGGGTCATTGGAAGCGGGAGTGTCCTGAACCCCTGAGGTTGGAAGAAGTACGCCCAGGCCCAGGCCCAGGCTCCGGCCCAAGAAACCAGGGACGGGACGGGGAATGATCCGAGATGGAAGATATCAGAGACCTGGACAAGGACGGAGTAGAGACAATTTTATTGGACTGGCAGAGGAGGATTTTACCCAAGACTAGGAACGACCGGACTCCATAAAGTTAGGCTTCCAGGAGCCCACGGTCAAAATTCAATTAGGGAGCCATTTAATAGACTTTATGATAGATACTGGCGCTGAATACTCAGTACTCCCAGAACTTTTGCAGAAAAAGGCATCCAAAAGTGTAGTCATTAAAAGTGCCACTGGTCAGTCAGCTAAGAGGTCTTTCCTCCAACCTTTAGAATGCCAGATTGGGGGACATCATTTAACCCATCAGTTTTTGTATATACCTGAGTGTCCAATGCCTCTCTTAGGTAGAGATATGCTGTCCAAATTGCAGGCCCAAATCACCTTCACTCCTCGAGGTCCAGAAATGAAACTGCCATCAAAGGCAGCAGGAATAATTTCCCTCTCAGTACCTAAGGAACAATCATGGCGCCTAATGTCAGCCCTGCAAGTCCAACCCACATTGGATACAGAATTAAACAAGCTCCTCCGAACCCTACAAGTGCCACCAGGAGTATGGGCCGAAAATAGCCCACCAGGAATGGCTAAGAATATAGCTCCAATTGTAGTAACCCTAAAACCTATGGCTACCCCTGTATCTGTAAAGCAATATCCTTTACCCCGGCGAGCAGCAGAGGGCATCCAGAAACATTTGGACCGCCTATTAAAATATGGTCTGCTTAAGCCCTGCCAATCAGAATGGAACACACCCTTTGCCTGTTCGGAAGCCTGGGACAGATGAATACAGGCCAGTACAGGACTTGAGGCTCAGTAAACCAGGCTATCGAGACCTTGCACCCAAATGTACCAAACCCATATACCTTGCTGAGTTTGATCCCACCAGAAGCAACATTTTTACTGTATTGGACTTGAAAGATGCATTCTTCTGTTGCCGGCTGGCACCACAGAGCCAACCTATATTTGCCTTCCAGTGGGAAGACCCTTTGACAGGAACAAAAGGCCAGCTAACCTGGACAAGATTGCCCCAGGGATTCAAAAATTCCCCAACTTTATTTGGCACTGCCTTGGCGAAGGATCTAACAAGTTACCCCTCAATACCTGGAAAAAAGGTGGTTCTGCAATATGTAGATGACCTTATACTAGCGGCAAAGGATTTTGATACCTGTAAAGAAGGGACAGAGGAACTGCTCCACTTGCTCTGGGAAGCTGGCTACCGAGTTTCCCAGAAAAAGGCACAGTTATGTTTAGAAAAGGTCAAATATTTGGGCTTTGACATCTCACACCAACAACGAGCATTGAGACCAGAGAGGAAAGAAGCTATTTGCCTTATCAAGGAACCTACCACAAGGAAACAACTCAGAGGATTCCTGGGAACAGCAGGGTTTTGTAGACTATGGATACCTGATTTCAGCAGTCTGGCCAAGCCCTTACATGAAAGCACTCGAGGTGCAGAAAAGGACCCATTCGTATGGGGACCTGAGCAGCAACAAGCCTTTTAGTTATCAAACAACGACTTATGGAGGCCCCAGCCCTTGGACTGCCTAATTCGGAAAACCCTTTCAGCTGTATGTACATGAACAGAATGGGATTGCAGCAGCAGTCCTGACCCAGAGATTAGGAAGTTGGAACCGTCCAGTAGCTTATTTGTCAAAACAATTGGACTCAGTAGCAAAAGGATGGCCTCCATGCCTAAGGGCAGTAGCGGCCACTGCAAGCCTTGTCAAAGAAGCTGATAAATTTACCTTTGGCCAGACGATGTATGTGAATGTACCTCATGCTGTTCTGACACTCATGGAATATAAGGGTAGTTATTGGCTAACGAATCCAAGGATGGCTAGATACCAAGGCCTATTGTGTGAAAATCCCAGGATTCATCTACGAGTAGTGAATATGCTCAATCCAGCAACTTTGCTGCCCCTACCAGAGGTAGATGATGAAGAATCACATGATTGTCTCCAAATAATGGATGAAGTGTATTCCAGTAGACCCGATCTGAAAGATGAACCATTGAAAAATCCAGATGTTGTATATTATACTGATGGTAGCAGTTACCTGCATGAAGGTGCCAGACGAGCAGGATATGCTGTGGTCACCAATGAGGAAGTTGTGGAAGCTGAAGCTTTGCCTGCTGGCACCTCAGCACAAAAGGCTGAACTTATAGGTTTAACTAGAGCTCTGCAATTGGCAGCCGGATGTAAGGCAAACATCTATACTGATTCTAAATATGCCTTCTTAACCCTGCATGCACATGGAGCTCTATGGAAAGAAAGAGGTCTAATCGGAGCCCATGGGAAGGCCTTGAAATATGGACCTGAAGTAGAAATCCTGTTGGAAGCAGTATGGGCTCCAGAACAGATTGCTGTAATGCACTGCAAAGGTCATGGACGTGGAAGGGATCCAATAACCAGAGGAAATCATGCTGCTGACAAAGCAGCCCGAGAGGCAGCCCAGAAGCCTGTGGGAGGATTTATAGCAGCCCTCATACCAGAGGTAGTTCCAGAAGAAATTAAACCTCACTATACCCCAGAAGAGAGGAAGTGGGCTGAACAGGAAGGAGCGGTTGTGAAGGACGGTTGGATGATCCTGCCGGACAATAGGATTTATGTACCTCATCACCTAGCAGGCACAATTGTAAGAAATTATCATGAATCTACTCACCTTGGCGGTACTGCAACCAGAGAGAGTCTCAGTCGGAAGTTGTATATTATTAACCTATCACAATTAGCAACTTGCATTTCACAGAAATGTGTTCTTTGTGCTAAAAACAATCCCAGGCAGGGACCGGTACAACCTCCTGGAATCCAACATGTGGGATACGTCCCCATGGAAAGCCTAATTGTGGACTTCACAGAGCTGGTCCCTTCTAAGGGATTCAAGTACCTCCTTGTGTTTGTAGATACCCTTACCGGATGGGTTGAAGCTTTTCCCACCAGGACTGAAAAGGCACGAGAGGTAACTAAGAGACTCCTCACTGAATTGATCCCGAGGTTTGGATTACCTAGATGCATTGGAAGTGATAATGGGCCAGCGTTCATTGATCAAGTAGTACAAGAAGTATGTCGAGTCCTACAAGTGAAATGGAGACTGCATGCAGCATATAGGCCTCAAAGTTCGGGGAAAACTGAAAGAATGAATCGGACTCTGAAAACCCAATTGGCAAAATTAACCCAGGAAACAGGATTGGGATGGGTAGATGTGTTACCCATAACACTGTTTCGTGTTCGGTGTGCACCCACAAAAAGACTTAAGTTGTCACCTTTTGAGCTCCTGTATGGGAGGCCACCCTCCTTTGTTCAGGATATTCCAGCTGACCTCAAACAAATAGGAGACCATGTGACACAGGGACAAGTGCAATCTCTCTCCCGTGTTTTTGTTTCTCTTAACAGGTGGGCCCTCGAGCGCACGCCGTGCAGCATTGCCGAGCCGATTCATCAGTTCCAGGCTGGCGATAGCGTATGGGTGAAAGAGTGGAAACGTGATCCACTTGCACCTAAGTGGCGTGGGCCTTACACCGTCTTGCTCTCTACTCCAACAGCGGTGAAGGTAGCTGAGGTGACCCCTGGATTCATCACTCCCGCTTGAAGAAGTCCGAAGGCAGTTGGACGTGCAAAGGTGACCCCTCTAATCCTTTTAAACTGACTCTCTCCAAAAACCCTGTATCTAGCCCCTACGGGGAACGGGCTAGGTCACGGGCAACATTAGACGACCGGCCTGCTGCAGCCACAACCTGGAAGCTGGCTGACCTGCGCACGCCTGAAGCTTGAGGAGCGTCTGAACCAGCGATTGTGAACAGGAAGATTCTCTTATACAATTGATTGACTGCCCCCTGTGGAACAATTATCAGGGATATTACTCATTGGGGATCCTCGGGATATATGTTTTGGTCTTGGTGGTTCCCCATTTCTGTCATTGGGGAATTATATTGGGCCTAATATTTTTTGTTATCACAATAAGGTAATCTTTTGTGGAAGAAATGCATATACTAGACATCAACATGATTTTATTATTAATCCTGATCCCTTGGGAAGGGGAAGGGTCCTTGAATCTGACCAAATTTGCTAAATATGGATTCCGCCATGACCACAATATGTGGGTAGGCTTAGCTGAGATGGTAGCCAATGTTACAAATAGGACCAATTGCCTTGTTTGCTCTCTTGGACCAGATGATTCAGAGGGAGGTATGCCCTTATTACCGATACCATTAAATGCCATTGGTATGGTAAGTGAAATGCCACACCAAACAGAAGTACAGAATTTCCCGGATGGAACTCAACTAAACCAATACGAGTTATACCTGTGCAAGGGGAATTCTGTGTACATAAATTATCAGCTGCAGCTGATTCTATCATGATAGGCTCTTCTCATTGCCACTATACTTGGGATTATATTAAGAATAGTCAAACCTGGGCAAACGGTACTACCTATCGAACTCGGAATACCTTGCCCTGTGCACCTCCTTTTATTCATGCATGGAAACTGGTGTGGAACATAACTGTGACAGAAAAAGGCAATCTAACATACTGCACTGTGAACTCTATGCCCCTTTTGATATTTCGCCTTATGCACTCCACGTACCAAAAACCTCAGACCCGATGGTTGTGGTGGATATGTGGAGAATGGGCATACAAGCAACTCCCTCCCAAATGGAGTGGGACTTGCTTCCTGGGATGGGTATTACCACCAATGTGGATTATGCCCACTAGTTCGGCAAAGCGTACACGAAGAAATGCTGATATTTCTCATATAGCAGGAGGAAGTACCCAAAGTTGGAGTGATACTGATGATTGGCCACCAGAGCGCATTATAGCCTATTATGAGCCTGCCTCCTGGAATCCTGATGAGCTCATACAAGGGGCACGGGATCCTATTTATAATCTAAACAGAATAATTCGATTGCAAGCAGTAGTGGAACTTGTAACCAATGCAACGGCCCAGAGTTTGAGACTTATTGCACAACAGTTGGATGAAAGTAGAGCCGCCATTTTGCAGCTGAAAATGGGAATGGATTATGTACTTGCCAGGCAGGGAGGCCTATGTGGAGTCTTAAACTTGACAGGGAATGCCTGTTGCTTTAACATTTCTGATAATGGTGAGGCAATCCGTGTGTTGGCCACAAAGATGGAGAGTATAGCACATGTCCCAATACAAATATGGGAAGGATGGGATATGGGATGGCTCACCAATTGGTTACCTAATGTTGCGGGACTCAAAGGGATACTATTGTCTTGCTTGTTTTTCTTGACGGTAGTAGTAATGGTTTTATGTACGGTGCCATGTATCATTTCATGTTTTAGAAGTACAATTAGCAAGATGATTTCAAATGAAACTTTACCTCATATTATGGCCCTATACAGAGCTTTACCTCAGGAATATGACGAAGGTCAAGCTATCAAGGACACTTGGGATGAAGGTCCTTGAGCTTGAAAGGGGGGAATGAGGCATCTGATCAAAATCTGCTTTGAGCTTAAAAAAATTATATTTGTAAATATATTTTTCTCTGCCAGGGAAAGACCAGCTGAATACTCTGGCAGCTGTTCAAGGGGCCCCACTGCTATAAATAAAAGTATTTCAAGGTTGTAAAAGGAAATTAGAGCCAGAGAGCAAAAGGTCACACTGACCAGAATACAATCAAGCTGTAAAAACACAATTAAGAACTGGTAAATAGTGAAATTTATTGTTTAACAGAAAACTCGAGCCATAAGGTTAAAGGTTAAATGGAAGAGGTTGCTCTTAGAAACAGCTGCTGGTTAGGGAAAAAGGTTTCTTTATAGAACTTAGGAACTTAGCTTTTACTAAGTTCCTTCTAATTTGAAAAGGCCTTTCCTTCTAAAAATCTGTCTATGTTATGTATGAAATATATTGGCTTAAATGTGATTATGCAAAGGATTTAGAAAGTAAGAAATGTTAGATTCTTATGTTAGATTCCTATTATGGTGGGTGAGAAGGTGAACTCAAGATCTCTTTAAGATAAAAAAATTAGAAACCATGCACCATCTGCTTTAGCCATCTGGTTTGCGGTGAATAGGGCAACAGGGGCCAAAGGTTATCTGGTAATTGAGGTGCCTGGTCGAGGTAAATGTAAGATATATGGCTACTTGTCTGCCATTTATGGATACAAGGAAATATAGCTTTTTGTCTCCCATAAAAGGGAATAGGAAATGGGTGTATCTTTTATGATTGGTTCTAGCAAACAGCCAATAGGAATTTCAACCAGGCTGATTGGACAGAGGCAGCCAAAGGAGGAGCAAGGGGGCTGGGCTGAGGAAATATAAGTGCTGGCCATCAGGGCTGGAGTAGGCAGAGCTTTGGTATCCATATACCACTGTGTCTCTCATTTATTTGTCTGACAAATAAATTATTATTTTAATTTCTCTATTGCTGCGTTGAATATTTCATTCCAGCTAAGCGTTAACCACAAGCAGGGTGCTACAATCCCGCGGCGAGGACCCCGTAAGGAGTCTCGCCGCGGCATTCTGCACCCACTGGAGTTACTGGGTTAGTCTCAAGGGCAGCCCCACATAGAGTGAGTTACAATAATCCAGTCTGGAGGTGACTGTCGCGTGGATCACAGTGGCTAGGTCAGGGCGAGAGAGGTAAGGAGCCAATTGCTTAGCTTGGTGGAGACGAAAAAATGCCGCCTTTGTTATAGCTGCAATCTATATTGACGTCATCTGCTCAAATCAACAGAGCGATGCAGCAAGACGCTGCTGGAAATGTGTTTAAAATGTGTGGAATTCCGCCTGGAAAGGTGGACAGGGGGTGGGAACTGTGGGCTGACCCACAGGTCTGCTTCCTGGGTCCAGAGGTGTCCCTTCCGAGTGACCGCAAGGGCCTCCGTGTCAGCCATTCCACGGAGAGATGGACGGAACGAAGTGGACTGGAAGTCGGCTTGGACCAAAGGGCAGGGATGCTGCGGTTGCTAGGCAACCACTGTGCTCTCCTTTCTCCCACCATCACTGTGGCTCTGACTCCGCCAGCGAGGGCTCCTTGTTAGAAAATGGAGTCAGTCCCACTTCACGCTTCCCCAGTGGCAAGTATCGCCAAAGGGGATGTGGGCATCTGGGCACCCCGGCTGGCGCTCCCTCATCCCGAGGGCCAGACTTGCTGGTGGCAAAATTGCCCTAGGGCTGCCTTTGTCAGCCTGGCAATCTCCAGGCCTTTCGTACTACAACTCCCACGGGAGTTGTAGTCTGAAACCTCTGGAGGACACCAGGTTGGCCAAGGCTAGTATGAAATCCCCTAGCCTGGTATGAAATCTTTTGGGGACTTGACATCTTTCCGCAGGGCCTGCAAGACAGAGCTGTTCCGCCTGGCCTTTGGTTTGGGCTCAATCTGACCCTTATTTTTTCCCTCCCCTTATGGTTTTGATCTATGGGCTACTTTTAAAATGAGGCTGTATTTCAAATTGCATTTTAACCTGTATTTTAAATTGTCCCCCCCCCCCATTATGTTTTTATTGTAATTTTACTGGTGTTAGCCACCCTGAGCCCGGCTCTGGCTGGGGAGGGCGGGGTATACCAGTAAATAAATTATTATTATTATTATTAGTGTGTTGTCTTGAAACCTTTCTTCTGTTGAACTGTAGATTGTGTAATGCATGGGTAGGCAAACTAAGGCCCAGGGGCCGGATCCGGCCCAATTGCCTTCTAAATCCGGCCCGTGGATGGTCCAGGAATCAGCGTGTGTCCTTTTTATTTAAAATGCATCTCTGGGTTATTTGTGGGGCATAGGAATTCGTTCTTTTTCTTCTTCAAAATAGTCTGGCCCTCCACAAGGTCTGAGGGACAGTGGACTGGCCCCCTGATGAAAAAGTTTGCTGACCCCTGGTGTAATGCTACTGAAACGCACCTAGCGCCATGTCTTAACGGGGGCAACCTTGGGTTTTTCTCTTTTTCCAGAGGCCTGGAGAGTGCCATGGACTTTGTGACAGAGGGTAACAGCCACGGCGTTCCTCATCTGAGGTAAAGTTGTGATAAGGGATTTCAGGAGCTCAGGGAGAGAGGCATACAGGGGATGACACAATGCTCACCAAGAAAAATATATAAGCACTTAGAAAGAGCAGCACTTTTTAAAGAAGTGCTTTGTGCACATGTAGCAAAGGGGGGGGGGGGAGGAAATCACTTAATAGATTTATTAAGCCCAAGGAGAGTGCAAACTTTGGATTTAAAAAGACGTCTTTCATGGACCTGTTGTGCTTAGGGAAAATAAATAAGAGCAGAGATTGGAGCCTAATGCTTTAAACTTTGGTGCCTTGTTTACTACATCATGCTAACTTCCATTTTTTGTTATTTTTAATTTTTTATTTGGTTTCCCCCATTAATGTTTATGTTCAAAATCACAAATAAAACAAATACACAAGATTCTCTCGAATCATTAGATTTCCCTCCACCTCTCCATGGGTTCCGTACTTTTCCTTTTCTGCTTATTTGATTATCCATTATATCCAAAGCCTTTGTTACAAGTGTTATTTAAGTCTTCCTAAAGAGTTCAGTTGTTTACAGTGGTTTCCCAAATATCATAAAAATCCCGCCCATTCTTTGCTGAAGTTTTGACCTTCCCGATTCCTGATTTCCCCGGTCATTTTTGCCACCTCTGCATAGTCCGTCAACTTGGTCTGCCATTCCACTCTGGTAGGAACATCGTGGTGGAAGAGCTTTCGGGTATGTTGAAGGGGTTGCCTGCCCAGCAAGACCCTCACTGGAAGATGCAGCACAGAATCATAGAATTGCGGAGTAGGAAGGGACCCTGAGGGTCATCCAGTCCAACCCGCTGCAATGTAGGAATCTCAATTAAGGCAGGCTGGTTTAACCATCGCCTGTGCTGTGCTTGCATTTCAGAGAAGAGCCCTTGGCCAAGAAGGTTAGGCTGGGAGCAGAGGAACGGCTGCCCGCATCCAGGGACGAAAATAAGGCAGTGAGTAGCATGGGGTTTTCTGCAACAACATTTCACACCTAAGCTGCTTTACTATGCCAGAATGTAGTGTCAGGAGTTCAGCCTACACTCGAGTAGGACCCTGGCAGAGACACATGCCTGACTGGCATGTTCTCTCCCTCCTGGTCTTTCGTTCGGGAGCTTCAAAAGCTTTCTTCTGCCCGAACATCACAGCGACCAATGCCAACCGACACTGGCACACTTAGGGGTCTGCAGAGTTTGCGCACCTTGCGTGACAGACCTCAGCATCTCAGCATTTTGGCTAATCTACTTTATTTACATATAAACGCACACGGAGCACTGCAACATGGCTCCCTCTCTCTCAAGCATCAGACAGCAAAGAGAAAAAGAACAAAGGACAATTAGTCCCACTTCATGGAACACAGTAACACAAACATCCTGTCTCCGTCACTTCCCACTCTGTGGAGTCAAAACATACACCGTCATGTGAAAGACAACAATCCCATGACTGCAATCACGGAGCAGGAATTCTAACGTGTAGCAGGGGTCTTGCAGATCAAACCAAAGGTCTGCCTAGTTCAGCAGGGCTTGAAAGCAGGAGCCGCCCAGTGTTTTTTGTCCCCCAGCAATTGGCATTCAGGGGTATTCTGTCTCTGATTGTGGAGGCTCCACAATAGCCATCAGTAGTAGATCCCTCAGCTCCATGAGATGAGCTTTTGACTAACACTGTTCTTTTCTTTTGAATAATTTTTTATTAGGTTTTCTAAATGAGGATCATAGGGATAATAAACGATACAAATGAATAGGCCGAGTCTTCTTACGTCATATGTATATCACAAAAACAGCACAATGAATCTGCAGGTGTGACTAATACAGTGGTGCCTCGCAAGACGAAATTAATCAGTTCCGCAAGTCTCTTCGTCTTGCGGTTTTTTCATCTTGCGAAGCACGGCTATTAGCGGCTTAGCGGCTATTAACGGCTTAGCGGCTTAGCGGCTATTAGCGGCTTAGCGGCTTAGCGGCTTTAAGAAAAAGGAAACAAACTCGCAAGAACTCGCAAAACGTTTCGTCTTGCGAAGCAAGCCCATAGGGAAATTCGTCTTGCGGAACGACTCAAAAAACGGAAAACCCTTTCGTCTAGCGAGTTTTTCGTCTTGCGAGGCATTCGTCTTGCGGGGCACCACTGTACATTTTAGGGCTGGGTGATATATCAACATATCATCCAAAACTGGTTTGAAGTCCATATCATGATATCGGTTTCATAATTTTTGACCTGGTGATATATTGCGAATCATGATGCATGTGTGCTATGCAAAAATCACAATGCGGGAAAAACCGCGATGTCAGCTGATGCCTCTGTATAGCTCCATCCTTATTTCGGACATCGTGATATATCGGCATATCACGATGTTTAAGCTGGTGATATACATCACGAAGTTGAAAACCGGGTATCGCCCAGCAAAGTACCGTAATTATGCATTGTGTGAAAAAGGACTTTCTAATGCAGTCATACCTTGGTTGTTGAATGCCTTGGTACTCAGACGTTTTGGCTTTGCGAACATTTTTCGGAGGCCAAACGTCCTCCGCAGCTTCTGATTGTGCACAGGAAGCTCCTGCAGCCAATCAGAAGCTGCGCCTTGGTTTTTGAACCGTTTTGGGAGTCGAACAGACACCCAGAATGGATTAAGTTTGACAACCAAGGTACAACTGTATATGCCTTGCGTTGCATTGAGTTTTGGGGAGAGAAGGAACAAACTATCTCCCTATCTGCTGTCTCCAAACTGCAAGATTTTTTAAAAACTTGCCTGTATGCTTCCAAGCCTACCTTTGAGGCCCTAAGGAGTGGTGGAGTCTCCTTCTTTGGAGGTCTTTAAGCAGAGGCTTGACAACCATATGTCAGGAGTGCTCTGATGGTGTTTCCTGCTTGGCAGGGGGTTGGACTCGATGGCCCTTGTGGTCTCTTCCAACTCTATGATTCTATGATTCTATGATTCTAAGTTCCAAAGTTCCAGAGAAGCATGTTTGCGTGTTTTAACTGTAAAGAGATGAAAATCTCAAGGCGGCCAATTTTCCTTCCTGATTCTTGTTGTGGTTGCAGTCACAGGACATCCGCACGGCTTTTCTTGTGGCAAACTCTTTCCCTGCTTTTCGTTTTGGACAGGTCACAAGGCGGCAGGTGGAGAACACGCCGCTCTGCTTGGAAACGCGAAGCCCCTCAGCGGAGGAAAGGAAGAGGAGGAAGGAGAGGAAAGTCTCTGGTGCGAAAGCGGAGACCGAGGAGGTGGGAGAGAGTCCAGGAAGCCGCAGCAAAGCGAGGGCTCCGGAGCAGGAGAACTTGAACGGAGCAAAGGGAGTGGAGGAAAAGGTGGAGAGGGACGAGGAGGAAGGAGAGGGCGCAGAAGAAAAGGAGAAGAGCGAGGTGAAGACTCAGCAAGAGTTGGATAGAGAGACTGAGGCACAAAAAGAGGGTGTCGGGGAGGCCAGGAGGAAGAAGGTCCAGGGGCAAGAGGCCTCGGAGGACGGCATGAGAGGAAAGAAGGCCAATAAAGGCCGGAAAAAAGGAGCCACCTCCAAACCTGGGAGTTTGGGAGGCTCCAGGAAGAGGAAAGCAAAGGAGGAAGATGGAGGCGCGAGGAAGAAAAGGAAGAAGGAGGAGGAATGCGGGAAAGAGGACAAGTGGAAGTGGTACGTGCTGCGTTCGGGTTGGGGCCTTTGCCATTACTATTTTTGAAATTGATTTTCTAAATTTCAACCCAATTATGCAGATTATTTCCAAATTGGTTCAATTTTCTTTAGGTGACTTCTTTCTGATGTCAACTGTGTTTGCAGATGCTTATTTACTTCTGGTTACTTTCCATTTTGCAAAAACGATCGCTCAGTCATCAGGTGCACTCTTGTTGTTTAGTTGTGTCCGACTCTTCGTGACCCCATGGACCAGAGCACGCCAGGCACTCCTGTCTTCCACTGCCTCCCACAGTTTGGTCAAACTCATGCTGGTAGCTTCGAGAACACTGTCCAACCATCTCGTTCTCTGTTGTCCCCTTCTCCTTGTGTCTTTCCCAACATCAGGGTCTTTTCCAGGGAGTCTTCTCTTCTCATGAGGTGGCCAAAGTATTGGAGCCTCAGCTTCAGGATCTGTCCTTCCAGTGAGCACTCAGGGCTGATTTTCTTCAGAATGGAGAGGTTTGATCTTCTTGCAGTCCATGGGACTCTCAAGAGTCTCCTCCAGCACCATAATTCAAAAGCATCAGTTCTTCGGTGATCAGCCTTCTTTATGGTCCAGCTCTCACTTCCATACATCACTACTGGGAAAACCATAGCTTTAACTATATGGACCTTTGTTGGCAAGGTGATGTCTCTGCTTTTTAAGATGCTGTCTAGGTTTGTCATTGCTGCACTCTTACTGAGTTCTATTTGCATTATTATGGTGGGACGCGGGTGGCACTGTGGTCTAAACCCCTGAGCATCTTGGGCTTGCCGATTGGAA